CCGCCGAAGCAGCTGAGGCGGCGGCGGCGGCGGCACAGCACAACAGGGCGAGGCCGCCCAGGCTCGGCAGGCTCCTCATGGCTCGCTCGGCTCCGCCATTCATTCATTCAGCCAGTCGGTTGGTCAGTCATCTTCTCCTCCCTGCAATCCGACCGAGGAAGCCGCCGCAGCCGCTGCAGCCACCGGGCGCATCATCGCCACCTCCCTCTGACAGGCGGCCGGCCCCGCGGGCGGGCCCCAGCGCGGAGGGAGCGACCGGACCGAGCGCGGACAGCCCGCCCTCTCCGATTGACAGCCGCTTCTAACCAATGGAAGGCCAGGGTAGCCCACGTGATCCACCCGCTTCCCGGCCTCTTTGTACCGCGGCGAGCCAATCAGAGGACGTCCAAGGGAGGGGGGCAGTAGGTAAGGCGGGAGGAGGGTGGTGCGAGCCGAGTTCCAGCCCGCCGGGCTCGCAGCGGCCCCGGCTTTGTCTGCCCAAGGAGTGGGGCGCGGGCCTCGGGCACCGGGCTCCACGGAGCAGACAAAGGACGCGCGTCCCGCGCAGCAGACGCCGGACCAAGTTGTCGGCTCTACTGGACTGCGAGCGCGACCTGCGGAGTGGGGGGAAATCCGCTCTCGGGAGCGTCCCCGCCCTCCTGAACAATGGGGCGCCGGCGCCGCACCCGGGCTCGGGCGGGGACTGGGCTGGAGCCCCGCGATGGGCGAGGGCGGCGGCAGAGAGGATGTAGAGCTTAGCATTCCCTCTGCTGCTCGAGAGAGCCTGGCCTCAGCCCTGCGAGATCTCTGCTGCCATTCCCATTTCGGAGATGGGGAGACTGAGACCTTGCTGAGGGCCTCCCTAAACCAAGACCCACGCCCTCACCAGACACCTGCTGTGGACCAGGTGTTGGACCAAGTGCTGCCAGGCTGGACGGGGGGAGGGGATGTCTGGAGACCCCTCAGGTGCCAAAGGTGCAAGCTTCCTGCGTGAGGGAGACAAGCTCGCATGCATACTTTACCCTAAACCCCAGGAAGAATAGGATCAGACGGGTTGAACGTCAACTTGGTGTCTCTTGCTGAGTGGTTTTGTGACCTGAGCGCAGTTTTTCGCCACCAGAACGGAGGTGATAGGACACACACCCCCATTCTCCCCCCGCCCCCATGGAGCTGTTGTGAGAATTAAGTAATGTACGTAAAGGGCTTGACCCAGCGGCTAGCCCACAGTTGTAAACCCTTATTAATGCTAACTACTCTCTGAGTACTGTGTCAGGACAAGCCTGGGATTAGAAAGCAGCCCCAGGCCACAACCCTTTTGTGTCCCCAGAGCCTCTTGCCTGTTGCGAGGACCGGGTGGAGTTGATAGCAGAGCTTGACCCTGGATGACACTAAACCCTGGATCAAGCTGGAATTCAGGCGTGCAGCCTCGCACCATCGGCTCAGGATCCAGAGCTAGGTCAGGCGCTGCCGCCTCGGCTCAGCAGTTTCCAGAGGGAGCCAGGCGGGGAGGGTTTGTCATCTGATGGGGTTTATTCCAAGCCCCACCGCTAACCCAGTCCTGGCCTCCCGTACGTGCTGTTTGCTTTTGTGCATGGTTTCCCATTAGTCATTGGCCTCCAACCAGACCGGCAGGATGAGATTTGTAGGTGAACCTGTGTATGTTAATGAAAGCATGCATTTATTTTCCTGTATGAGAAGTGGGTGGGGGGAGGCTGTGCATGGAGGCATAAATATGGTGGTGAGTCTGTGTGTATGAGTATGACATGTATCTCTTTATGAGTGTGGGAACTAGTATCTCTCTTCATACATTATGTGTCTTAATCATCTGTTCATGTGTACTGGTGTGTGTTTATGTGTATTTTCTGTGTTTTTGCATGTGCATCTATGGGTGTCTTGATAGGTCTATGTATGTAAGTGGGGGCAGGGAATGGGAGGAAATGTGAGTGTTCTGGCTTCAAGACCAATAGTTAGCAAGCACTAACAAAGAATCTCTTTTTACCTCGCTTAGGGAGTATGGACAGGTCATGACACTTTCCCATGTTCTCTTGCTGATTCCTCCTGGTCCTTCAAACCCCTTCCAAAATGACACATTCTCTGAGAGACATTCCTGGATTTGTGAGTGGGAATTAATCTCTCTTCCCCCATTTCCCCACTGCCCTTTGTTTATTCATTGATTACAGCCCTGATCTATCAATCTGCCTCTCTCCTGCCCCTTCCTAAAAGGATTAAGGATGGCTTTCAGAAATATATACAACAGGATAAATTGAACTGCCCACATGGCTTTATTATTTCTCACAGGCATGCATCAACCTCAATACTAGAACTTGTGATTTATGTGAATGTCTCTTCCATCAGCTGTTCTCTCTGTTCTCAGTGCCTAGCAGGGGCAATACATGTAAGCGCTAATCCATGCTGGTTAAATTGAATTAAATTGAAAAGAGGTCCTGTGGTGCTCGTGGGAGGAGTTTGTGTCTTTTGAATCAGACAGACTCTTCATGACCCTGCCAACTGTGTGATGTTGGAGCAAACTTTTCACCTCTCTGAGCCTCAGTTTCCTCATCTATAATTTGGGACCCGTAAATCCTCTCTCACTTAGTTGAGCTGAGAGAGTGCAGGGAATGTTTTTACAGAGTTTGACTCACAGACAGTGCTCAATCTGTGTGGGTTCATATTTTAGTTATTCTAGTGTTAACTTTGAACCTTGTTGGCTGAAGGACTAGAGCAGAAACTCCTGTCCCATAACTTCCCCCATCAGGTGACACAGCATGATAGTTGCCCTACCAGATAGCCTCAAACAATATGTGAAAATGCTGGGTTGGCCCTGATCTTTGCTGTATCCGAGGTTCTCTTGCAACATGGGAAGAAAAGCTGATACAGCTTCTTGGCTGGAAGACTCACGGAGAAAAGGACTGGAAGACCTTGCCGAAGTGATCCAGGATAGCTCTCTGCCTTAGGCAAGAATCACTCATGCTGAAGCTTTTAAGATAGGATAATTAGCCCATGATATGTATAGAAAATGTTGGGTTTTTTTGGAAAAGTAATTTAAGTGTCTTAATGTCAATTCATTCAACATTTTATTCTTAAGTTTGTTTTTCTGCCTTAATCTCTAAACCACAAGATGACTTTCTTAGGAATAATATTTTACTTTGTGTTTAAAAGTTGAAAATACCTTAAACCATCTGACATCAGAGAAAGGGATTATTCCTGTTCAATTTAACCATATAAAGTAATTGTAAGGGTGGCTATGAAGACAGGATAGCATTTTTTTTTAAATCGAAGTCTCACTCTTTTCCCCAGGCTGGAGTGCAGCAGCACACTCACAGCAACTGCAGCCTCAACCTGCTGGGCTCAGGCAATCCTTCCACTGCAGCTTTCCAAATAGTTGGGACTACAGGCATGTGCCACCACACCCAGCTAATTTTTTGATTTATTGTAGATAGTAGGTGTTGCCAAGTTGCCCAGACTGGTTTTGAACCCCTGGGTTTAGGCAATCCTCTCGCCTCTGCCTCCCAAAGTGCTGGATTACAGGTGTGAGTCACCATACCTGGCAAGCACAGCAAATATTAATAGTAAATAATTGAGCTCTTACTATATGCTAGACACTGTACTAAGAGCTACACATGAAGTATTTTGTTTAATCTTAGGAACCCCAGGAAGTAGGTACTGTTATGTCTCAGTCTATTTGGGCTGTTATAACAAAGTATTATAGATTGGGTGACTTATAGACAACAGAAATTTATTTCTCACAGTTCTGGTGGCTGGGAAGTCCAAGATCAAGGCACCAGCAGATTCAGTGTCTGGAGAGGGCCTTCTTCCTGGTTCATAGATTGCTGTCTTTTCATTGTGTCTTCACATGGTGAAAGCAGCAAAGGAGCTTCCTGGGGTCTCTTTTATAAGGACACTAATCCCATTCATGATGGCTCCACCCTATGACCTAATCACCTCTCATAGGCTCCACCTCCAAATACCATCACATTGGGGGTTAGGATTTCAACATATGAAGTTTAGAATGACACAGGCATTCCACCTATAGCATATTATTATCTGCATTTTACAGATAAGGAAACTAGGACACAGAGGGGTTAAACAACCTGCCCATGGTCACTTAGTAAGCCAGAAATCAAACTGAGGCTGCTTTTAACTATAGAGGGAAAATGATTATTATAGAATGTTAAGAAGAAAAGAGAAAATAAAAATTGTAGTTGTAACAGATAGTGTAACAGAATGTTGATTGGTACTTTTCCTATGTTCCAGAACTGAAGCTAAGGCCTGGGGCTCTAAAGAGAGTTGTCAACTCACCCCTGATACTGGGAGCCATAGGGTTTAAGGAAGGACCACAGAACAGCAGGGGCCAGAGAGGGCTTTGCTTAGAGCCCAGGAGCAGCCTGACTTCTCCTAGCAAGCAAGATGCTGTAAAGGGCCCAGTCTGGTTCCCCTTTGTGTACTCAGCACCTAGCAAAGTGTCAAGAACACAGAAGTGGCTCAAGAATTGTGTTATCACGTGGCAGATTCTCTTCCAGAGGTCTTGCATTCATAATGCATTTATTCATCAAAGGCAGGGTCATCACCTGTACTTGAAAGAAAAGGAAATGGAGCCTCCAAGAGCTTAAGGGACCTGCCCAAGAACCACCTGACTCCAAAATCTAGACTGTTGTCTATATTTGACAGTCCATTAATGTGGCCGCTGTGCACTGCACAAATAGGAGAAGGTCAGTGAAGACATCCTGAAAGAAAGGACATACACACACCAAATTTAACCCCCCTGCCAGGGCAGTATTTAAGAGAAGCTTTGGAAGCAAGAAAATAAAAGAAGCCATAATCATATGATAGATGTGGCTCAGCAAAATAACTTCATCTCCCAGATTCTAATAAAACACGAAAACCTTTCCCCTTTCTGGTTTCATTGAAACAGCAATGCTGACGTGGACTATTTCTAATCCTGCAGAGCCTGGCCTCCTATCAGATGTGGCTAAATGCAAAGTCTGGCATCTTCTACAGATAACTGTAGAATTGTTGGGACCAATATTAACAAAAGTATGCTCAGCAAAGGCCACTAGCAGACAACTCACAGAAAGGGAAATACAAACGACATGACTGAGAAACATGAAATACTGTATATGAAACTTAAGTATTTAAAGAATTGCAAGTTGAAACAATGACTTGTCATTTTTTTTAACCCATTGATTTGACAAGAATTTTTTGAAAATGGTAATACTTGTCACTATCTCTCCCTGTG